TTCTTCTTCTTCTTCTTCTTCTTCTTCTTCTTCTTCTTCTTCTTCTTCTTCTTCTTCTTCTTCTTCTTCTTCTTCCTCCTCACCTCCTTCTATTTTCTTCCTCTCTCCATCCTCCTCCTCCTTTTTCATTTTCTTTTTAACTTGAAGAAAACATTTGCTGTTCAGTGAAAGCCAGCATATATGCTATCAGCTTCTGGAAGACATGATTTCACAATAATGATAGTAGTTTAAGGATAAAGATTCAGGCACCAATTTGGTCTCCACAGCAGAGAGAAATTAAAGCTGAATTCAGAAGGTAGGTAGTTAGCCAAAATACCATGTGATTGGTTAATCTTTTGGAGATTCCTATTCCAACAATTTAGTAATGTTAGAATCAGGGAGGTTTCCAAAAACAGGGATTTTCAGAAACTGGCTACTTTTTTATTATTTTGCTTCAATTCTGTGTTTTTTGGATCTATAATGTATATTTTTTGAATGCCATTCATAGCAGGGAGTTTATACATAGATGTCATTGAAGGGGAAAGAGTTCAAGAGCTGATTTCTGGGCCACAACAGTGCTTGAAGAAACGGACTTCGCCACAACCCGTCCAATTCCTAGTGGCTCAAATAATGTTTTGAAAGACTGAGCTCCTATTATTAGGGCAAATGTTTGGCTGCATACTTACTGGGCACTCCTTATTTGGAATGGAATATGTGTATTTAGTTTCCATTTTCCCTAAGGAAAGTGTCATTTAGTGAAGAGCATGATTGCAACCGAAGATAACGTTGCAGTTGATGGTACAAAGTATACTAGACTCAATTCCCAATCCTCCCGTGTTCCTCTGTCTTGCTCCTCAAGCCCCATGTTTCTTAGCCCACACTAATCCCCATGGTGTTTTCTTTCCCAGTTGTCACAGATGAGACCTTGAGCTTCATTCAGAAAAGCAGACGCCTCCTGGTTGTCCTAAGTCCCAACTACGTGCTCCAGGGAACCCAAGCCCTCCTGGAGCTCAAGGCTGGCCTAGAAAATATGGCCTCTCGGGGTAACATCAACGTCATTTTAGTGCAGTACAAAGCTGTGAAGGACACCAAGGTGAAAGAGCTGAAGAGGGCTAAGGCGGTGCTCACGGTCATTAAGTGGAAAGGGGAGAAATCCAAGTATCCCCAGGGCAGGTTCTGGAAGCAGCTTCAGGTGGCCATGCCAGTGAAGAATAGCTCAAGATGGTCTGGCAGTGACAAGCAGGGGCTCTCCTATTCTTCCTTGAAAAACGTATGAAAAGGGAGCCCAAAGGAGTATAAAGAGCCAAGAGTACTCTTGAGAAATAAAAGTCCCACTTCTTTCACTCCCGATGTAGGGTTTGATTGGCAGAACCAAGTTCTGTCAAAGCCTTCTTATTAGGGACAACTTCAAGGTGACTTTGGGGTCAGCTCTTCTGCGTCTGGGGCCACACCAAGGTTTAGAGTGAGACAGTCACAGTCTGTCACCAGTCTCTGATGTCACTATGGTCTTTTCGGGCAATGGCATAATTTTCTTCTTCTTTATCCTCCATCCCTGATCCAGTCTCTTTCCATTGCTTTGTGAAACTCTAATATTACAGATTGTCCACAGATTTAACAACCCCTTTGAGGTATGTTGCTTGTTGACAAGGATATTATTTTTGTGAGAAAAGTTTTCTTTTTTTCCCCACTTCTTTGTTCATCCACTAGAAAGATATTCATAGCCTAAATTTATTTTAGCTGGGGCTAATGAACTCAATACATCTCCACAGCAAGACAGACAGACATCCAACTGGGATGACACAATGCAGTCTAAGTACAGCTGTTTCTTACAATTCTTTCAGCCTGTCTAAAAGGCAAGATGTATTTTTTCAAGTGTCCCACTTGCTTTCATCTCACGTAACTGATATTGCATTTATAAACTTGAAAAAAAAACACTTTGTCATCACTTCTATTTTATTATTGTAAATTTTTGGTTCTCTTTATAGATTGATACACTTATCACCCATCGGTTCCATATTTTATTCACTCCATTGATAACAGGAAATGTGATCATTCAGAGTTTGACAAAAAAATCTGATTATACAGATGATGCCAAACTTGGTTTATACTAAAAGAAATGTAATGAGTTTAATGGAGAGAGGGAAAACGTTTTTAGGCCAGTTTTTCCCCCTAAGGCTTAAACTGAGGACCTAGGCAATGTTCTTAACTTTTATTGTTCATGGCTGGTGCTCAACTGCTCAAAACATTTCTGACTTTTAGCTTGTTAATTGGTGATAGAAGTTGCACAGAGCTTGTCCAAGCTGGCTTTGAACCATGATTCTCAGATCTCAGCCTCCTGCGTAGCTATGATTACAAGAGTGAGTCACCAGTGCCTGGCCTTTAGGGCATTTTTGACTTCTGAGAAGAGCACACACATATCTGGCAAACTGTCTTTTAATACCAACCTTGCTAATGTGAAATATGGGAAAGTGATTTCTCTTGACTCATTGGTGTCTCTTCATTGTACAATGTGGAGAAGAGATCGGGTGATCTTACCAGTTGCTGTGATTGCAGTTGCTGTGATCATTAATGTTCTCAAAGAATCGTACTTCCTGTAATATGCCCAATAGGACAGATACTATCTTGCTTCAGATCAGTTTATCTAAATAGTACCTGTCAATTAAATTTGATTTAAAATAAAATATTACTGTTCTTCACACTTGGGAACTTGAAAACTAAGTGTAACATTTACAGAGTGGTGAATATCTATGTTACATATAGAAAAATATATATAATCTGTATGTGTAGATATTTATATCCATATCACATGGATTGCTTGTGGGTGGGGGGTAATGAGATTATACATGGGCACACACATATCTTTAATTGCCATTGGTACTCTATTAGAAACAACAGAACTCTTGTCCAAGTTTTATGTTATGTTTATTCTGTAATGCTTTTGTGTTGGTGTTTTAATTCCATTAATGTTTTTTGTGAATTCATGGTCAGTGGTTATCATTTGTTCTTTTTCTAGATTAATAGAAATAGCCTACTACTGTACGGTTGATCTAGGCTTCAATGGAGACTATTGTGCACAGAGGGTCCATAGCCATAGCTAAACAAGAGCCATGCACATGGTATTGATTGATTTCCTACTCTATTCTCAGCAGGCACATTTAGAAACTAAACTATGTTAATTTCATGGCTCAGCCAGGTGGATTGTTGAGTAATAAATGGAAATAAATATACCTATAAATTAGCCGGAGTCTCCTACGAAACATGATAATTTATCATTTTAAGAAGACTTTATCCCTGTAATATGAGTATTAATAAGTAATTCTAAAATTATCTCCTATATTTGTGCCTTTCATCAGGATAAGAGTAATAAATAATTTCTCTAATACTTATCGATTATGTTAAATTGAAAGAAAAAATATTCACTTGTGAATTCTTGATTATAAAACTATCATGTAGAAAAGCCTTATTAATGCTGTTTATTATTAAACTTTCACTTACCAGACCAAGGAAAAGTTGAGTCCAGATAAGCTTTGAATACCAATTCTTGCCTGAACTTTTCACAGCAAGGCGTAATCTCCTCACCAAGGGGCTGCTCTCTTATTATGTTGCATTCTTCACATGCTGTTGGGTATCCCCAAGAAATTCCTTGATTGTTTGCCTGTTCATATTCTTATCTTTGATACTGAGTTTTTCTAAATTCAATCATACAAAACATATCAAATACAAGTAGTTTATATCATACATTAGAGATCTGAGGCTCAAGACATTTTTTTATGTTCCAGAAAATTCTCAATGCAGACTCTCTGTGGGATATAAGGACACATATACTTAATTTAGAAGTCAAGAACATATGTCTCTTATTAAAGACAATGGCTTAATGGTTTTAGATCCATAGGACCTTCTGTGCCCAGGTTAACAAAAACAAGCTATATAGAATGTCTAACTACACAATTACATACATTTTATTTAGTTTTTCTTTGTATTGTAACTTAGATAATTCCCTAGTATTCTAATTTATAAAGCACTCCATTGTAATAGGAAATACAAATGTAACTGTTAATTATCCATTTGTTTTACATGCATTTTAATATTTTGAGATATCTTTAATTTTATTCATGAAATTTTGTACTGTCCATTTTTCATTTGATTTGTAAATTTACATATTTTTAAATAAACCATTTATTTTCAACTTTGAATTTTATTTTATGCATGTGTATTATGTCTTTGTTTTCATGTTTGGGTATATGAAAAGAATAATAAAGATTAGTGATTGCTCTTATAAAAAGATGAAATAAGTTATAAAAATATCTTGGTGGAAAAATTCTGAGAATGTGAATTACATATCAAGACTATTTATTTTGCATGTGAGTAAAAGAATTACTTAAGTTAAATAGATGGTTCATTGCGCAAAGATGAGTATAATTGTGCATAGGCATGTCTGTCTCTCTTTTTGTAGAAATACAAAGAGAGAACAGACACGCAGAAAGGAGAAACAAGGAGAAGAGAATTGTTCCTTGAAAATGAAAAAAAAACACAACTATATTCCTATTCCCTTTGGTTATACTTGGAACAAAGCTAGCTATAGTAGTCACTTTTATTATTTTTAATAAGTTTTTAATTGTGAAAATATTGTACAGAAGTTAAAGTTATATGAGCAAGGTAATGAGTACATTTCTTATCAAGCATTGTTGCCTCCTCCTTTGTTTTCCCCCTATCATCCCTTCCCTCCCACTCCACAACTACATCTAAATTGTGACGGTCATTTTTCAACATAGCGTCTTGTACATCTCATTGGTACAATGGATCAACCTGTATCCCTATTTAAACATTTTAAAGCAAATCCAAGGCAACTGTTTTGCCATAAGAAATTAATGTCTTGCATGAGTAGATGGTAAGGGCAGTCAGAGATGGATTGTAAGTAGAAATATTAATGAAATCACTGAAAAAAGTTTGAAATTCACTTTTGTAATGTAAGTCTTTAGCAACAAAAGTGCCTTTTCTCATTACTCATTTGGTCAAAGAATATTTATAAAGTCCTTGATTTGGATACCTCAGTAATAATTTTGCTACTAATTTTTCTTTTGCAAGAGTCTATAATAGATAGGAATTTAATAGCTAATATAATTATATAATAGGTAGGAATAATGGATCAATGTTAAAGGGAATGAAGTTATACTCTTTTAGACCCCTAAAGTTAAGGTGAACAATAATGAAATGTTAGACATTTGAATATAGACTTCTCTAGTATATTTTATGGACCTACAAGTTTGTTCTTATCATATACATTTTATAGGAAAATGAGCGCAGATTCAAAGGTATTAAGATTACATGCTCCCTTTTAGTACATATCAAGTTTTTAATGGAGGGAAAAAAAGAGACAAAGACTTGTTAGTCTTTCCTCTAACAAGATCCTTGCTGCCACAAAGAAGTTTCCAGTCCTAGTTTTTGTCTAGATGAATCTTGGAAGGAATTATGACTTTTAAGGAGAGATGTATCCTTGAGTATGGTAGAATTCTAAGACAGAACTATGACTTCCTAACCAATGTATTACCTCAAAACAAAACTAATCACATTATTATTACAAACTGAATAAACAAATTAATTTATTACTCCTCCATATTATCTTTAACATTAAAACTGACAACTGCTAAGCTGGGAAGAAATAGCTCTTGCCTGTAATTCATTTCCAGTCAACCACCCTCACAAAAAAAAATGAATAAATAAAAGCCATAAGCGGAGCTGCATCTCAAGATGGTAGAGTGCCAGCATTGAGAGAAAAAGCTAAAAGCACGGGCTGGGAAGGTGGCTTAGTGGTAGAGTGCTTACCTTGCATGCATGGGGTCCTGGGTTCGATTCCTCAGCACCACATAAAAAAAAAGCCAGAAGTGGCTCTGTGGCTCAAGTGGTAGAGTGCTAGCCTTGAGCTGAAGAACTGAGGAACTGCACCCAGGCCCAGAGTTTAGACCCCACAACAACAACAACAAAAAGCTGAAAACAAGCCAAAAAACCAGACAAACAAACAAAAACCTATGTGTAGGCCCCAAGTTCAAGTCCCATACAGGCACACACAACAAAGTTAACTGTTATCTTCAAATGTGGAATCTTGACAATATGGAAGCTAATTTTTAATTCCATAAGGATGCTGCTTCCTTGTAATTATTGTGTGAAGAGCCCCAGGTATAGGTCACAACCTATCTGAGAAGAATCTAGTGTTTCATTTCTCAGTGCCTGATTCAACTATTGTACTTACACTGGGAAGATCCTACGTTTTCTTAAAGTATAAAGTGACAATTTTGAGGTTAAACACTACACCACACACACACACACACACACACACACAAATAAAGGCACACTTGTTGACTTTACAAAATGTTATTTCCCAATTCTCATCCAAATTTTTATTAAATCTATCAATTGAAATAAATCATTTGGAAAGAAATCATAGCTCACGTACTCCTGAAGTTCATAATATTCAAACATACTGCAAAATGTAACTTTGTCCCCAAAGGCTGAAAATTCTCTCCAAAATGGATGTTCACCATTTTCATTTCATTTTCAGAATTGAAAATGGATATGATTTACACATTTAACATTCCTTCCTTCCAGATTCTTACTTTGCCTAAATTTCTGAATCTCACAGTAAGTTAAGTACTGAATTTAAAAATTAACTAGTTAATAATTAGTTAAAAAACATTCCTTTGGGACAGGTTCAAATCTACCTTTAAACTATTTACCTTAATAATCAACACCCTTTGCCTGCCTGAAGACCCAACCCAATACTTATTACCATTATTCTTGCTTCATTAATTCATTTGAGGGCATATTCTTGATACACAAATACGGATAGGAGGAGGGAAGTTGCAGAGAGGGAAGGATATATCAATGTCTTAGAAGGTGGTAATTTGCATTGGTCAGATCATGTCAGGAGCATTGTTTATTGCTGTTCAAAACCACTATTAAAAGATACATGTGCCAACTAAATATTATCCATAGGATAACACACATAACCTGAAAACTATTCTCATGAAGGTGATAAAATTAAGTGGAGATTTAGAATTATTTTTAGAACAAGAGTAACTTCCCAGTCATTTAATATAGAGTAGCATCACAGTAGTTTGAACAAGAAATCATTTACAAAACAGCTCAATTTGGGTAGTTTAAGAGCTTGTGAATTTAATTCCCAGCCCTTTTTTTTTTCATTTTTAGTCATAAAGAAGGCTTTGTTCAAGAAAGGGGGATGGTGAAACAGATATTACACTCAAATCCTTCTTCATCCTTGAAGGTACTAAATCCTTTGCAGCTCTTATTAAGAGGAATGTAGATGAGATTCCCAGCTGGGTGCATTAGTTAGCACTTAGATCCTATAATTTCAAGATCTTGTTCATTACCTGCCCCTGGTATGATGGACAATGCTGTCATGGAATTGCTGCGTGTTTTCACAAGTTACTATGCTATGTTTTCATTTTCCTATAGATACAGTGGAAGCAGTTTTTGATTTCATTCAGAGAAGCCGACGGATGATTGTTGTCCTCAGCCCAGACTATGTGACAGAAAAAAGCATCAGCATGCTGGAATTTAAACTGGGTGTCATGTGTCAGAACTCCATCGCCACCAAACTCATTGTGGTAGAGTACAGGCCCCTGGAACATCCGCACCCAAGCATTCTGCAGCTGAAGGAGTCTGTATGTTTTGTCAGCTGGAAGGGAGAAAAGTCCAAACATTCAGGCTCCAAATTCTGGAAGGCCTTGAGGTTGGCTCTCCCCTTAAGGAGCCTAAGTGCCAGTTCTGGCTGGAATGAGAGCTGCTCTTCTCAATCTGACATCAGTCTGGATCATGTTCAGAGGAGGAGAAGTCGTTTGAAAGAGCCACCAGAACTCCAGAGCTCAGAAAGGCCTCCAGGTCCCCCTCCAGCTTCCAGCACAATGTCCAAGCACCGAGGAAAGCCTTCTGCAGCCTGCCGCTGCTGTGTCACCTACTGTGAAGGAGAAAGTCACCTTAGAAGCAAGAGCCGGGCAGAGATTCATACCCAGCCCCAGTGGGAGACACATCTCTGTAAGCCTGTTCCCCAAGAGTCAGGAACTCAATGGATACAAAATGGCACCCGATTGGAAGCCCCTGTTTCCCAGATCTCAGCTCTTGCTCTTCACCATTTCACAGATTTATCCAATAACAATGACTTTTATATCCTATAATTACTGAATGTGGTGGGTGGTGACTGCTATGTCTACCAAACCTCTTTAAAACATGAACATTTGAGAATATCATACTTTTTTAACATCTAATGGACTACCAGATTTGTGTCCCCTTTATTGATATTTTTTAAAAACTATTTATTTCTAGGAGACAAAACACCCGAAGAACCCGAATCCAGAGTTATTGCCTCTAATGGCCTCAGAAGAGAACACTCTTCTTGGGCCCTAGAAGGTCAGTATGTGAAAGTTGCTTAAAATCAGATCTCTTATCTTACCCAATAGTTTAAATTGAGCTAAGGATTTAAGTATGTTTCCTCTGAGTTCATTCATTGATTGACCAAATGACCTGAGCCAGCCAATCAACTTGGGGTAAGACATTTACAGGGTATATACATGTTTCCAAGGATGATCTGGGGACAAGAGCTTATGCTGGTAGAAGCTGTAGGAGAAACTTAAACAGGGAACCTACAGCATATTTTCTATCAAATAACCAAACACCCCCACCAGGGTTACATGGTGTTCTCCGTCTCATTGTAAACTAGTGTGTCCTATACTTCATAAAATTGTTAGCATCAATAAAGTTATATTTTTATGTCATTTCATTTGTACTAACAAATTTTTAACTCCCTCTCTCCTTTCTCCTTTTTTTTTCTGGCTTTTGTCTTCATTTCTAAAGGACATCCCATTTCAAGAGATTGAGATTTAGTGTAGGAACCCAGGAAGGCTAAGATTCCCCTCTTGTTTCTTCTTCCTCCTTTGTATTGAGAGACAGACAACAGATCATGAAGAAATAGTCTAAGCAAAATAGATTTTTACATTAAAGAAATCTCACTATTTGAACGGACTCTGGAAAAAGTCAGTAATATAGGGAATCGGGATGAGATTTGGTACCTGAGTGTTCTTCCCATAGTGTGAGGTAAAGGTATATTTACTTAA